GCGACGTCTCCGCACTGGACGAGGCGCCACCTACGCGCGTGCGCGGCAGCGGAGAGCTGCGAGCGGTGGGCATGGCCGAAGGAGTAGTGAGGCCGCTCCACCCTGGACAAGACGCGGGGGGGGGGGGGCTTCGTCCGCATACGGAGATGTCATCCTGGAGGTCAGGCGAGGGAACGAGTCAGCAGTACAGCTTCGGACACCTGGTGTCGGCCGAGTGGCTGCGTCGGTGCCCAGCTGATAAATTAAACTGATGTCTTAAAAAGGGCTTAAAGGTGGCTTTATTGGATACGTGGAATGTGATAAATAATTTAATTAAGCTTAACGAAGGCTCGCCGAGACGTGCCTGTTATGGCAAGGTGCTAGATGAAACAGGGGATGGGGAAGGTCCCCTTCGCGTGCGAGCCAAGGATGAGTGGGGTGACGTGGGCGCCAGCGGATGCGTATGCTTAGAGTGAGTGTGGCAGGGCGCTGAATTCATGAAGTCTGTGTGGATTAGTTAAGGCTGAGGTTGGGGAGCTCCTGAGGTTGTTATCCAGCGGGTCCTTGCCAGTGTAATTCTCCGCCTGCGTGGGATCGCTGTCAATTTGGGTGTAATATCAATGCATCTGGTTCCATTTTTGCCCCGTTTAAATAATATTATCCGCTAGAGAGTGGAGGTGGGGTACCGCGGTTACATGCACAGAGCCATGTACGGGACACAGCCGTTCATGGTGCCTGACCGGACATACTATCCTGCCAATCTCCCGGCCACCCGCTTTATCCCATCTGTGGGGCTCACGTAAGTGCGTGTTGATGTCGCGTGTACAGCAGTAGCAACGTGCCCGGTCGCGCGCTGACATTATTTGGTTCGTATGCTGATAAATGGGCTCCTCAGTACAAACTCTCGAATTCTCAAAAAAAAAAACACCATGAATTCTCTCCTGTGGGGAGGCGTGTGCTATGGCGTGTACAGTGTGCTATGTACACTGTACTGATACTACACTGTACATTGTAGTGTAGTATCGTCAGCAAAGAACGGTGCATCGTTGTCAGTCTTGTCGGTAAGGTCTCTGATGCCTACAAGCACGAGGAGAGGCCCCAAGATCGACCCCGGCCGTCATTTGGCATGCCTTGCCCTAGAGGTGCTGAAACTATTGCCTGCCTTGATTATCTCCTCGCAGTCTGAAAGATATGATTCTAGCCAATTTGGAAGTGCCTGATAAGCCGCATTAGTTCTTGCACTTGAGTAGGAGACCCGTATGCCAGACCTCGTCGAAGTATTAACACGCGCCCGGGTAGCCGGGTGGATACCCTTTGCTTTGGTGGGGGTCAATTTGACCCCCCTGAGATCTCAGGAACTAAGAGAGCTAGAGACACCAAACTTATGGGGTTATTGACTTGCACGTGAACTGAACTGGGTCAAAGTTTGAGGCTCCTAGGTCATGAACTTCGGGTAAAATAAGTTCAAACAAGGTCAAATTTTAGGTTGGTCTCCTAAGGGTGCTAAGCAAAAGGTCGTCTAATCTAAGGTCATCTACGGTCAGTGACCTTGTTTGATCTTTTGAATACCATGGTGACGAAAGTCATACAAGACTGCTTAGAATTTTGCATTTGGATAACCGACAAAAGCTTGCGCTAGGCAGCGTGTTCCTAAAAATTAAATCTTGACCTGGGTCATTCTGGTTACTGACCTATTCTGGCCTTTAAATAGCCTATGGAAGGAGTATAATGCGGTCCGTGTTATTAACAAATTAAAAATGAGCACCAGAAGCTACCCCATACTGGAAGCCTTAGAGTAATAAAACAGGTTGATTTTGGCCTTGGTCTGATTGCCTAGGAAAGCATTTCAGAAATAGGCTTCGTCTAACACTCCGTTGTTGGATCAGATTGAACGATTCCCTCGAAATTGCCTTCGCTGAAACCATGGCCTGGCTTGGACCTGCCACAGGTCAGCGACCTTACAAGATACATCAAATTTTTATGCCAGAACATCCGCTATTCAACCATCTACAGCTATGCAAAATTTGACGCGGTTACGCCGCGCCGTTCGGAAACCATTCTGGGAAAACCCTCGGGGGGAGGGGTCAATTTGACCCCTTCCCGCCCGAACGCGCGCTAACTTATGTCTGTTACGTTCTATTCCGGTCACTGCTCTGCTCCGTCCAGCCCATCAACACTAATATTACTTTGATTCATATTTTTCCCATCTCGGGTAACAACAGCGACGCTAACAACCGTACCTACCCGAGCACGTCTTCGACCGGAGGTCCTCGCCCCGGGCCGAGCGCGACGGGCCAGGCCATCCACGTGACGTCACGCGGGTCCGACGCGCTGATTGGCGGGCCGGCGACGCGCGACCCGCGGCCTGACCCGCCGGGCCGTGACGGGCCACGGCTGCGAGGCGTAAGTATTTCACATGTCCAAGTGGATGGCTGTGAAATCATTGCCGCGCTCCAAAGCTGCATAAAGATCGTGAATGAAATGTGGAAGCTGAATTTGTGTGCCATTTTTGAACGCTATCTATTTGGCTTATCAAACACCAGCCCATTTTCAATTAAGTGCTGATATATGGCCTTAAGGATAATGCTTTCAATAACTTTTGACACAATGAAGTTAGACTGATTGGTGTGTGGCTGACAGGATCAGATCTCAACCCTTTTTTAAATGAGATGAAACTTTGCTTCTTTCCAGGTGAAAGGAAAACGCCTTGACTTAGTGACATGTTAAATAGTTAAGTATGTAAAATGTTGATCAAAATGGCAATTATTTTTCATGCTTTTGTTGGGAGATTGTAAGGGCAGCATGGTTTCTTTGGATCGAAAGAGATGAGTGAGCTCAGCACTTCATCCCCTGTAATGGTTATGCTATCTAACGTGGGTGGCGGATCCGCAAGCGCGGTCTCGGGCACAGGTAGGTAGTCAGTTACGAGGTGTAATTGTGTAGTAAAAATGTCACCTCGTAAGGTAGCTTTACTGCTATAGCTAGTACTCTATTTGATTTATATATAATTTATATTCTTTCATCATTGTATTAAAAATTGTATATTAAATTCATTGCGTTATATATTACACTAGTATCGTTTATATATAATTCATACTTCATATAATTTAAGCACCGTTATAAAGCTATATATCCTCTGTCAATAGCGCTGCATCAGCTCCTACGATCGGTGACAATATCTCAGTTCGCGTCAGTCCTACGCTGAAAACCGCGATGATGCTTGTGTGAGTTGGCTTTGCATGACAGGTTGTTCACTTGATGTCGCAGTGGTCACTCTTAAGTTGTTTGTGCATGTGCGTGAGCAGATTTCTTCGTCGTCTCCAGCAGCCCCAGTGGCGGTTAGTCCCACATCTCTAAGCAAGTCTGACAAGTCTCTCTCTCCCCTCATTTCTCTCTTCAGTGCAGCATTGACCCAAGGTTTGTCAGTTTCTTATCCTGATTAGCTTAGCTTGGATGGCCTCAGCAGCTGCTGCGATTGTGGTCTGAGTGAAGTTACTTGTCGGTTTGTCAATGCCATGATCAAGTACTCTGTCCCAGTTGCGTTTAACCAGAAGTTGTGAAAATTTGTCAGCGTCTACGCTTGTACGGCCCGATACTAGTACAAGTGATGTCTTTAGGGGTGGATGCGCGACCTGGATGGTGGCAGAAGAAGGGATGCGACCTCTTGGTGAAAGGGGGTGGGGGTGGTGGAGAATTCCACTACCTGCAATGAGGTTTGTATTAAATGTCAGTATCAAGTCACGCAGGTTGGTTGCTTTGTGTAACGAGCATTGGCTAATCAATGAACTGTGGAAGATTGAGTGAGCCAACTGTGTTCTAGACTGACTTCAAATTGAAATATATCACTGTATTTAGCAGCGTGGACTTAACTTAGAGTTACCTTCACCGGTACTGACATCTCTCAACTTCAACATAGATGTGTGACTGTATGCTTGTACCGTACCAACACTCTCTGTTAAAGTATCTAAGAAATCCACCGGTGGACTTCTGGAGAGATTAGATGGGTCACAGGCCTAGGAAACCGCAGTAACTTCTGCTTTCAGTTTGATGAGGGACCAAATTCATTTAATGCCCTCACGACGGTAAGCAGCTTCCGCCGGGATGGGCTTGAGGGCGGTGATTCAGCGCCGGGTGGCACGTTCGAGGCAGCGCCTCGGCTTTGATCCGATAATAGATGCGCTTCCACTTTTACGACTCCCACTGCTGCATCTTTTTGCAGTCGCATCGGCCAACAGACAGCACCGTTTGGATGTCACTTTCGGCAAGCACATGAGTCAAAGACTAATCGGCGTTATCTTGGAAACCTATATACCGGCGGGAGCCAAGCTCTCTGTTGGAAAGCCGACATGTGTTTCCATTCATCCAGTAACAATCCAGAAGGTGTGTTCATACCAGCCATCCAACTGTAGGCTATCGAAGTGGCAATGCTGCAGCCGCGTGCCGTACCGGAGTTCTCCAAGTCAGACCACCATCCGTTGGGAGGTTTCGTGACGCCGCAGCAGCGAGCGGCTGCGTTTCGGTTGGATGAGCCAGCGCACGCGCAGGCAAACGTCGCCCACATCCGCACTGTCGAGCCGCCTCCAACAGGCCGAGTTGACCGATGCAGAACGAGAGTCAACGCGAGAGGCAGTCACGTTCAGGGGTGTACACCAGTGTGCATTTCGCGCACGAGTCCAGATGCGCAGCTACACACGCACATGCGCCGATACATATCCGATACGTATCCGACGGTACGGAACACACGTAATATCGCCCCAGCACCGTCAGCCCCCAGGAATGCATTCAGCCCCGTAACACCGCCACACCGCCTCACCGCTCAGGTACAGCGATGCCCCTTCGCCCCCTCCCCCATTGGGACCCCAGTGGGACCCCCATGGGATCATCAGTGGGACCCGAACCCTCGCGCGAAGCCCGCAGCAGGGGCGCACCGGCGCCCACGTGTACCAGCTGACGAGTGGGTGTGGGTGGTTGGGTGGGGGGGGGGGGGGGGGGGGCAAACGAACGCACGCCGAGCTGCCCATCCCTCCCGCGTCGACGCCAATCACTGGCGGAATGTCGGGACTCCGTGACAGTGGCCGGGGTCCGACCGGCGCCGCACGGCCGGGGAGGGCGGCGAGCACGCCCCAGCCCGACTGTCGCCAAGACCGTGCTTGCTTCAAAAGCATGCATCGGCGGAAGACGGTTGTCTGACCCTGGCGGCACGTACGCGGGTCGGCGACAGGGCGGCAACGGCGGCGGGGGTGGAGCTGACGACGGCGGGGCTAATGAGATCCGCTAACAAGTTGCAAGTCTTGGTGGCGCCGACGATTAGAAAGCGACGCAAGCACGCTGACGCTCAATTTACGGAAGAATGCAAAGACGGTAAGAAGTGAGCGATTTTGATTCAATTACGCACGAGTTTGGAGCAAGGGAAAAATGAGCAGAAGGCGGGCCCGAGGCGACTTTCAGGCCAGGAACGTGCGTGGGCGTCAAACCGATGATGAAGAGGCCACTAACGCACGCTCAATGGCCTCCAACGGCTATGATGGCACGTCCACGCCGCCCAAATCCCGCCCAGCAACGTCCCCCCCCCCCCCCTTGCGTCCGAGGACCTCCCCGATCCGGCTGGACAGGCGCGCAGCACCACGCGACCCAGACGAGCCGGGACCGGCCCGCCGCCGGACGTGGTCACGGTCAGAGGCGTCACTGCAAGAGAGGGTCGCCGCCGGTCGCCGCCCATGTCGACGGCCACGTGGGAGCAGCGTGAGGGAAACGGCCAACCGCACGCCCGTCAACACTGCACCTCGCGTGGAAAATCACGCCACACCCTTGCATCCAACAACACAACACACACACCCTCCCATCTAACAACACAAGCGCAGCGCCGATGGCGCCGGCCTCGACCGAGGATGTGCCGAGACAACCGGCCTCCGCCGGCCGCGGCTGCCCCGCCCCCTGCCCACGCCCCCTGCCCGAGCCCCCTGCCCGAGCCTCGGGGGAGTGCGCTGACAGGCAGCAGTGGAGGGGCCATCACTACTAATCAGCTACAGTTAAGCCGGCACGGGCGCCGGAACCCCACGTGACGGCGCATGGTTTTCCAGGCCCCGCAGGCGGTGGTGGCAGCGTCCCTGTGTCCCGAGGCCGTGCTGGCAGCGTCCCTGTGTTCCGACGCGTTAGCGTCTCGCCCCCGGTGTATATATACAGACGCACGCACACCGGTGGACGAGGCAGGGGACGTGACGTCGTCCGCAGGGCTGTCGACGCGTGCCGAAGTGCGCTGCAGGCGACGGCAGCGACACCGCCAATGTCCCGGATGAGGTGACGTCATCACGGGGTATGCTGGCGTGCGCTGCGTCGCGGCACGCAACGGATCACCCTCGCCAAAAGGCCTGCCTGGTTGATGCCTCAATGCCCTGATACTGTTCAGGCGCACTGTGGCGCTTCGCAGCATCACCAAACGGTTATCGGATCACCGTGAACACTGCCTGCACCAGCATCATCAACATCACCACCCACTTCGTCACCATCATCGCCATCACCGGCCGCTGACGGCTCGGAATCGCGACTCCAGCTGTTTGGAGTACGCGTCCAGCTGGATGGCGACCGCCTCCAGCTTGGCCAGGCTCTGGTCCACGTCCTCCAGCTGCCTGCAACAGCATGAGGAGTAGCGACGTCAGGTTACTGTGGTGCCATGGAATGAGTGGATGGAACCCCCGGCAGGCCGCTCGGAGCCTGGCCGGTGGGAGATAGCGCGAGACACTCACGGGAAAGGAAGTACCCCTCCCTCCTTCCCCGGTGTGGGCACCCGTACCACCTCCGCGTTGTGTCGAGGTGGCTACTGTTCCGATGTGACGTCAGCACGCGTCGACGTCAAGGAATTAATGACCTCACCACTTGCAGGAATCGGAGAGGATGCACACACGCGTCAAGGGCCTGGACCACTGCGTCATGCCGTCTGAAATCGCGCACAAAGCAGACAGCGGGCGAAAAACAACGACAGTTCGACTGATGACGAGACAATCAGGCAAACACAAGCATGAAACAGCCGTCGAAGAGGAAGACCGCGACGACACCGCGGCGCACTCGGCAACGACCGCAGATCGTTCATTCAAGGTGCAAGACAATCAGCGGCTCAGTGGAAACATGGAAACCCCGGGAGCCTGCGAGCCTGCCTCGAGACGCAGCGGGCCTCCAACCCGGCACGGCGGGCCGCGCGAGGGCGCGGTACATTGCGTCATGTAAGTGAACGGACAGGCGACGTCGGGTCCGTTCTCCCACGCTTGAGAAGCAGTGCACTTAGTCCAGCGTTCTGGAGAGCTTTTCGCTGCGTTGGTTATTCATGCGGGCTTCCGCTACGGTGCATGGCCTCCTTGGTTAACTATTCACACGTTGGGAGCGTTTGGCACTATGTGGGGCACTCGCGCTACCATCCCTGAGATAAGTGATTTTGGGAATAGTCGTCGCCATAAAGCTCAGCTCACAAGTACGTCCAGGTCGGCGCGGAAGTAAAGCGCTCAGCTCCAGTCCGGCGGAGACTCAGCGTGAGTGGTGCATGAGTGCGACAGGTCCTATTGTGACAGGACGGTGTGGGCTCACGCAGACATTGTGCTGACAAACCAGTTTTAACTGGCTTGGCCAGACATCGGCAGTTTTAAGCTGATTTCCATAAGACGGCATGGGTCCGCTGAATGCTGGGTGCACTCGAAGCCCAGCCAAGCTCTCGGCCAACCACGATCGAGCGGTGCATGACGAAAACTCTGGCAGCAATGCACAATAGTTCTGTGCGGCAGCCACTTACCCACCGCAACAGGTCACTAAGCAATCATACAATTTCACCGAGTCGCTGGCACGGGTCACGCTTCGTGGCGGAGCTCGGCGTGGCCTCGAGCTTTCAGCAGACGTGTCACCACATCCTTGACCAGCATGCAGCAGGGTCGCGTCGCTTCCGCGACACATCTGTTTTAAGCGTACGACAGGAGTGTGGCGGACGCTACCACAGCGCGCGTTACACCTTATGGCAAGAGCCATAACAAACATATTTTTATCACGGAAATTTGAGATGATGATTTCAACTACACCAGCCACCTAAAAATTATTACTTAGTTCCCACGCACAGCGTAAGGCTGAACAGTGATAACCATCAAGCCAGTATTGTTATTCGTATCACACAACACTAGTAACCTTTCACCGGCGATTTGCGTGCACAATTTGTAGGTGAATTTAAAAAAAATATATCCACACAACCTCATCCAGTGTGCACTTGTGCACACATGTTAAAGCAAACATCGGTCTGCGCTTCACTGCCTTTTGATCATATTTTAACTCAGCTTTCTCACTCTTTCAACCGTGCATTTTCTATCTTTTGTCTTTTCCGCGTCACTTTGGTATTTTGTTTACATCTGCACATGGTCTACTGTCTGGCAATGCGGCATTAACCGGCTCCTCACTGTTCTGAGTGTGGATCACAAACCGCCTATTAAATAGCCCCCTCGCTGCCCCCCTAACAGCCCCCTTAATACTTCCTTTGCGGCCCAAGGCCGGGATGATTCTCAAGGGAGAAGACGTTGTACAAGACAAGACAGATTGGCAACGACGACGAAGCAGGAATCCGTGCGATGAATTTAATCATGCGATCGGCATCTGCACCATTTCTGTCACACCCGGCGACCCGGCTGCTCCATGGCCGGTATGGATCGGCCAGTTTGACAATCTTATCTCCTGGCGATTGGGGGGATAATTCCTCTCGGGCCCGGCTGGCTGTGCCTCCGCCTCGGCTGTGCGGGCCAGATAGTGTTCCAGACCATTCATGCAGCGCGCTAGGCAGACAGTGTGACGGACTTCGCGCAGAATCACTATCTGCTGCAGGGTTTTCGGCCCAGGTGTGGTGTAGTTGCAGAGCACTACAGGTTCAGATGTCAGGCTCAGCGGCGTCACGACACCACTGCACAGTGGGTCAGTGTGCTGCAGCAGTGGCTGCAACGTGTGATTATGGTGACCACAGTGAGGAACGTATCCGTGACCAAGCGATCGAGAAGCCGTCTGCAGCTCCTCCGCGGCAGCACATACTGATGGAGGTGGACTTTACGTTCGCGAAGACGCTGCTGATGGGGTCAGTGGAGACTGCATCACTACCGGATGGCGGAGTCAGTAGGGGGGGGGGGGGGGGGGGGCGGCAGCGCCATGCAACCAGCTCTGCAAGCATCCCCGCCAGCAGCTGCGGCGGCTCCAGATGCTGAATGTTGAAAATGAATGAAATGAATGAATGAAATAAAAACTGAATACAATAATGAATGAAATACAATTGAAATGAATGAATGAAATACACAATGAATGAAATGAACGGATTACAAATCCAAAAGTATGTTGCTCCAGCCAACGCGCTTCTGCTGCAAACAGGGCCACTACGCCAAGGATTCTGTGTGCCCTGCCAGCAACACCATCCGCCAACACTGTGGCAAGAGGAGACATTTTGTCCCTCAGTGCGGGGGGTGTTGAAGTACCGGCAGTGCCCGCACTGTTCGCACCTTACAGATTACGTCAGTGGGTCAGGAAAAGCAGCTGCACACATCACGGCCACTGGGTGTGGCAAACCACCATCCATGGTGGTCGACAGAAGCTCCCCAGTAACAGCGCTTCCCAGACATTGTGTGCCTGAGTGTAACATGTGAGAAAGCCTTCCGAACCTATAGGGAAGCAAAGCTGGAAGTGTTGGCAGGTCCTCAGAGGGCACGCATGACCGATGTGTACAGGGAGTGGACGCTGTCTTCAGCCGCGCTAGCGTCCAGGCGAGGGAGTCCAAGTGCTTGCGCGTGCGCGGTCTCCTTCGTTCCCCAGGTGCATCGTCTCATGCCACGGTGCCCACACCGATGTTGAGCGCGTGGCTCCTCTGCTACAGAGCCCTGATTTCAGTGATGCGCGCGGGCTGCAGGCACTCCGCGGTTCAGTGATGTCCACGTGCGGTCTGTGCAGGTCTGTGCGGTCCACGTGCGGTCTGTGCGGTCTGTCTCCGCTTTCGTGGAGCCTGCGCGGGCCGCTCTGAAGGCAGACCCTCCGCGTGGTCTCAGGGTCACTCCTCGCTGGTGAACTGCGGCGGGTGAAGGAGACGACCTCCACGGCGCCTGCTCTGAGCGCGTAGCTGGTGGCGCTGGAGCTGGTGCTGGTACAGCCCGCGGCTGGCAGTTGCGTTCGGTGGAGGCGTGACTGCCGACTCCGTGATCACGTTCTTGTGCCTTTTGTTTGCGCGAGAGGGTGTGCCGGAGGAGCTAGTATCGGACGATGGGCCCCTGTGTCGGACGACGGGCCCCAGTGTCGGACAGTGGGTCCCAGCGTCGGAAAATGAGCCCCAGTGTCGGACAATGTGCCCCTGTGTCGGACGGTGGGCCACAATGTCGGACGATGGGTCCCAGTGTCGGGCAATGGGTCCCAGTTTCGCCCAGCTGAGGTTGCCCAGTACCTACGAGCTCTGAGCGTTCGAGGCCTGTTCCGCTCTCTGTACTCGCCACAAACGCGTGACATAGTGGAGCGCCTCACCATACCGGTGGAGGGCACCATCTCGTCAGCTGGCACGCTGCGCCGGCCCAGGACCTCTCACGTGCAGGTGTTCCTGCGGTTGTACCGGGCCACGGCACACCCGGCTACAGGCATTTCGCCGTTGCACACCACGCGGGGACATGCAACGCGCACTGGCCTGGACGTGACGTCACTTCCAGTCACGTGGGGCAGCCAGCTGGCGGTTCTGTCCAGCAGTGCCGGGCCGGGCGCGAGCAGTGCTGTGATATCCGTCCTGCCGGCAAGTCGCCAACTTGGCGGGCCTGAGACCGCGCCCGCGTGCGTCGCCGCATGAGGCGGGAAGCTGGCGGAGGGGCGCGCGGCAACCATTGAGAGGCAGATCATCCCTCCGAGCTACAAGTTTGAAGATGGGCGGTGGGTTCGCATCACGCGCCTGGTCAGAGCTCAGGCAGCCTACCTAAAGTCAGGTACCCACTCGTATTTATTCTCAAACACGCCACTTTCTAAATACCTCATTTTCATCTGTCAACAACAGCTGACATCGTTTTCGAGAGCGCAATTATGTATAGCGCAATGAAGCACCAGTCCTAAAATTGGTCACGTCTGGTGTGAAAACCTCAAACGTGTAGCGAACTCTTCAGCACCCAGCTCCCGGCAGATGACGCGTGTGTTGTGTAACAAATCAATCAAATATTTCAAGTGATGGAAGTGCAGAAAAGCAAAACATAACACTATGCATAAAACGTCTTAAAGTAACAAAATAACCTAACAACACAACGAACGAAACGGCGCGCATTTTGGGCGCCGGACGGATGTTTAACGGACGGTTGTTGCGGTAACGGAGGGACAAACGGTTGTGAGATTCGAAGCGTCAGCTCTTCAGCAAAGACTACGGCTGTTTGGATCGCGGATTCCCGTATCGACGGGTTTAGGGTCGATGGTGGTCCTGTGCGTCTCAGGCAAGAGATGCTGTACCAACAACAGCACGTGTCCGACCCGAGAATAGACCATCATCTGTGGACGGCAGCGGCCGTAGATCACCGACTGAATAAAAGATAACTGAGCCGAGGATTCCTGACGGGCGGGGGGAGGCTCGGCACTGCCTGGATTAGGTCAAGCAGCATTCGCTCCGTTTATA